GCTTGTGTGGAAATATTGTGCCTCCTATGACCAATTTGTTGAATGCACATAGATTTGCAAATCTTTCTCCATTTTTGTTTCTTTCTCCCAGTCCATGTCGTCCCATAATATCTTCAGATCCAGTGTTGTCTATTCCGACTTTGGCATTTAGATCTCCCATCAGAATAGTTAGGTCTTTTCTTGGGCATTTCTCAATGATTGACTGTAGCCGCTCGTAGAACTGATCTTTAATGTCGTCGTTGCTATCATTGGTGGGTGCATAACATTGGATAATATTCATTAAGATCCCCTCCTTCTTTGTTTTGAATGATGCTTTGATGATTCTGGATCCGTGAGATTCCCATCCTACAAGTGCATTTCGTGCTACTTTGGACAGCATAAGAGCGACTCCCTGAGTGTGTGGAGCATTTCCCTCTTCGTGACTGGAGTATAGTAGCGTCTCTCCCGTAGCTAGCCTTTTCTGTCCAGCTTGGGTCCAATGGGTTTCGCTGATTCTCAGTACTGCTAAGTTGTATCTCCTCATTTCCATTGCTATTTGACTGGTCTTCCCGGTTTCCCACATTGTTCGAATGTTCCATGTACCTATAAAAAATTTTTCTCTGGTTGTTAGAAGGGGCATAAGCCTCGTGGCTTCCGAAGGAGCTCGATTTTCACCATGAAACGTCATAATTCTTCTAAATAAAGACCTTCTAACTCCCAGGGCAGAGTTAAAATGGTTTGAATTATATTTTCTGGTAAGCGTTTTCTCGACGAGTTAGTTTTCGACGGGATGAGGACGCTAACCCCACGAACAACCCTCCTCCTTTACCCGGGCTTGGGACCGGCAGTAACTCTAGAAGAGCTACAGGCGGAGTTATTAGAACATAAGAATATGACAAAAATTTCAGTTTCTTTAAAAATAAACAACTAAACAATATAAATGTAGACTATGCCTAACAAACAATTAAACTTTCAAACTTTTGTTGAGTTTGCATACATTCATACTATGCATATTATTCAGTAGTACATAAGTTGCGGAACATGTTTGAAACATTCCTTCGAAATGACTGATTGTGAAAAAATTTCAAACATGGATTTGTCTACTTAAACAAATATAAGTAGACAAAACATGTTAACAGGATAATCATGATGTAAAACTGGAATTCACTTAAGACTAATATAAAAGACTTGATGAATGGTAAAAAAATAACAAAACACAGAAATCAACAAATAACGGTCGATAATCTAAAACATACTGAGCAAAAACATAACGCAACGAAAAAAACCAATAAAAATAAAAAAAAATAGGGACAATGAAAACATAGTAGGCAACCTCACACTAGATATTTGATAAGACGATTGAAAAAACAAAATGAAAACACAAAATAAACAAAAAAAAATTCCGTTAAATTTCAGAAAAATCAAACCTACATAAGCGACAAGTCCAAACATTAGAAAACACAACACAGACAACAAATGAAGTGACTACAATTGACATGCATTCCATCAACGAAAACGACACTACGACTACAATGGAAAAAGCCATAGAAATAACTACGCCAACTCAAACAACCACGACGATGACGACCACCACAAGCGCGACCACATCGCCACCATCGTCCACAACTACACAAACACCGACCACGCAAACAACCATCAACACAACACCATCACAAACACCCACCGTGGAAAGCACAATCACAACCGCAACAACAACACCACTCTCCACAACCACCACGACGCAAATAACCACTACCCAACATTCACAAACAGACACCACCACCATCCCGACAACTCTGGCCACAACAGCACCAGCAACAACCACACTCATCACAACACCCGCAACAACAACCAGCGTCATGCAAACCACCACACTCGAGCAAACCACATCGCCACAAACAACACCCACAACACAATCCGAAACCCATACACCCACCACACTAACAACCACACAGACTAACCCTTCCACGCACACCGAAACGCCGACCACGACACACATCACGACTGAATCTACTACGCCAACTCAAACACCCACGACGATGACGACGACCACAAGCGAGACCACATCGTCACCATCGTCCACAACCACACAAACACCGACCACGTATACAACCATCAACACAACACCAACACAAACACCCACCGTGGAAAGCACAATCACAACCGCAACAACAACACCACTCTCCACAACCACCACGACGGAAACAACCACTACCCAACATTCACAAACAGACACCACCACCATCCCGACAACTCTGGCCACAACAGCACCAGCAACAACCACACTCATCACAACACCCGCAACAACCAGCGTCATGCAAACCACCACACTCGAGCAAACCACATCGACACAAACAACACCCACAACACAATCCGAAACCCATACACCCACCACACTAACAACCACACAGACTAACCCTTCCACGCACACCGAAACGCCGACCACGACACACATCACGACTGAATCTACTACGCCAACTCAAACACCCACGACGATGACGACGACCACAAGCGAGACCACATCGTCACCATCGTCCACAACCACACAAACACCGACCACGTATACAACCATCAACACAACACCAACACAAACACCCACCGTGGAAAGCACAATCACAACCGCAACAACAACACCACTCTCCACAACCACCACGACGGAAACAACCACTACCCAACATTCACAAACAGACACCACCACCATCCCGACAACTCTGGCCACAACAGCACCAGCAACAACCACACTCATCACAACACCCGCAACAACAACCAGCGTCATGCAAACCACCACACTCGAGCAAACCACATCGCCACAAACAACACCACAACACAATCCGAAACCCATAACACCCACCACACTAACAACCACACAGACTAACCCTTCCACGCACACCGAAACACCGACCACAACACACATCACGACTGACTCTACTACGCCAACTCAAACAACCACGACGATGACGACCACCACAAGCGCGACCACATCGCCACCATCGTCCACAACTACACAAACACCGACCACGCAAACAAACCATCAACACAACACCATCACAAACACCCACCGTGTGGAAAGCACAATCACAACCGCAACACACAACACACTCTCCACAACCACA